GCATTGGTAGACTTAAATTGTTTACAATTTCTCAGTATCAAACCTAAAGATTGATGTGCTCTATTACAAATATCAGTTACATGATCTGTGACAAACAAACCAGAATCAAATAGAACACCTAAATCGGAAATTTTATTACATCTATCAATGCTGGTGTTAGAAATTTTATAATAAAAAAATATTGGAACGCGCTTATGTGTAAAACTAAGAATCTTGCACTTAGATATATTTAGATGTAATTTGTTATAGATACACCAAGATTGGAAAAGGTCAAGTTGAGACTGTAATAATAAGCAGTCATCAATAGAATTTATTTTGAGATATAGTTTCAGATCATCTGCAAATAATAAATGTGGACAGCTAATAATATCAGAAATGTTTTTAATAAAAATAATAAATAGTAGTGGACCAAGAATGGATCCCTGAGGAACACCTGAACTAATATTTTCAATGTTGCTCAAGAATCCATTAAGATAGACAAACTGTTTACGATTATGAAGATAACTCTTAAAAAAGTGAATAAGTGAAGAATTAAGACCTATCTTAGATAATTTAGTAAGAAGAATGTTATGATCAATTTTGTCAAAAGCTTTACTGAAATCAGTGTAAATAACGTCAACTTGTCCATTGATGTCAAGATTCTCATATATATATTGTTTAATACAAATTAAATTTGTTATCGTAGAACGGGCAGGCATGAATCCATGTTGATTAATAGAAATTAAAGTTCTAACAGAAGGAATTAGTTCTCTATAAATATTTTTTTCAAATACCTTAGCAAAGTTTGATAATAATTAGTAATGTTTGATGTAACACCTTGTTTAAAAGTTGGAACTAATCGTGCAATTTTCCAACAATTTGGAAAAGTGTTTGTACGCAATGATAGATTAAATAAAAATGCAAGTGGATCAGATAGAGTAGATGAGCAATCACGTATAAAGAAAGATGGAATACCATCGAAACCAAATATTTTGGAGTTCTTAAAACTTGCTATTGCAAGTTGCACAGTACTAGAATCAATTTCACCTATATCAATCATGATTCTATCATTATGATCAAATAAAATAAAGTAAGAATTAAATGCATCAACAATAGCATCAGGAGAATCATAATATTTGTCTAGATAGCACAATCTATTAGGAATAATATTAGAAGCAGTTTTATTATGCAAAAAAGACCAGAAATATTTTGGATTAAGCGAATGAATTATAGGCATCTTTCATAAGTGTTTTTATTAATTTCCTGTACAATTTAAAATTTTCATAATAGAAAGTGATATTGGTTAACTTGTATTTATTATGATAGTATTATATTTCTTCATACGGAGGTTTCTGATAATATCAGAATTAAACCAAGGCTTAAATTTATTGGAAGCAAATTTCTTTGTTTTAGGAACAAATATATCTAATAAGCTATAAATTGTAGCGTAAAAAAGATCACATGCATCATTAATGTCAGAACATGTATACAAAGAACTCCACGATGTATTTAAAATTTCCCTGTAAAGATTAGGATAATCCGCTTTGTGGAAATTGTAATGATAGTTATTTTTATTAAATTGCAAAGTATTGGGTGTGGAAAAAGAAGATGTAAGGGAAACAGAAATATAAAGAATAGGATGATAATTGTCCTCAGGTAAAAGGGGTTCGGTATCATGAATTATGTTGCAAAAGTAAGAACAAAACACTAAATCCAACAATCTGCCACTGATATTGATAACAGAATTATATTGGTTGAGACCAGATAAGTTAATAAAATTATAGATAAAGTTACATTTTGCATTAGTAAGATTATGAGATAATTGATCGAAATGTGGAACATTGAAATCACCAATAATTAAAACATTTTTGTCAGAAACATAAGATTCTAGTAGATCAAGGAAAGCTTCAAAATTCTCAGTAGATGCATCAGGTGGAACGTAAACGGTCAATACTAATATGCTTGAATTCTTGAGGATACACTTGCACCCAACAATATCAATCATTGGAAGGGATTCACAAATAAAGTTCAATTTCAAAGGTTCACAAGTAATATATTTTTTAACTGCAAGAAGTACACCACCACCGCAATATTTATTGTTGATACCATAAGTTCTATCACATATGAAAACATTGAAACTGTCGCAAAAAAATTCAGAGTTGTGAACATCGTTCCTAAGCCATGTTTCATAAAAGACGACGAAATCATAATCAAGAAAACTAGACGCGAGCAGGCAGTCAGAAATTTTAGTGTTGAGTCCACTAACATTTTGATAGTAACATGTAAAGACATTACTATCTGTGGGCAAAATTAGTTTAAAGAAACGATTCGAGGAACGCCATTAATGTATTTAATTTTAGGATTAACTTCACTTTTTTTCTCGCGTTCAAGTAGCTGAGCTTTTAGTCTTTGATAATAAAGTTGTTGCCTTGGTGTCCGATCCTCAGTGATGATCAAATTCTTGAAGTGGTCATTATCTTTAATTTTCTTGCAGTAAAACAACATTTTCTTTGGTAAGTTATTATCCTTAAAGATAATTTTAAGCGGTCTTGGCTTAGTCCTTTTCAAATCATATTTACCCAATCTAAATAGTTCGAAGCTCGACGGAACACAAGGTACTCCTAATGAAGCTTCAAATATATTGTTAACCATATTTGTATCAACACTTTTATCGTAACTGTTTACGTCATTAAGAGGCTCTTTGGCGTTATATATTATGATATTATATGGACGTTTATTGCGTTCAGAAGTCTCTTGAACTAATGCTTCAAATTGACCATCATCCAAAATATTATTGTTGCAAGACCTACGATCTTTTAGTGCAGCTATTTCTCGTTGTAGCTGCATTAACATACTCTTGATATCATTAAGGTCATTACCAAGATTAGCACATGTATTGCAATTCCACATTATTCCTTTTTTTGATGATATTGCTCGAACATCAGTCAAGCTCAAGTTCACGGATGAATACCTAAACTTAGTTTTGCACGAAATACATGTCACCATCTTGTCTAAGGCAACTGCAATACTACAGCATGAACACGTATTTTCCGAATTCATAATTATATGCTTATTTCACTTATTTAAGCGATGTTTACAACAATATTCAACAATTTTATGATTAGAAAATATTTATATTAAATTCAAAATATTTTATATGATTTTGACAATGATGTTTTTTTGTTTTTTTTTTAATTTAAATCTGTCGTTATCATAAATTTCAAATGATAGAAATATTTCTTACTGTTAATCCTTGTAAATTATAATTCATGAGGCGAGTAACGGCTATGAGTATTGTCATCTGAAAAGTAGACTAATGTCAGGCAAGTACCCATACTCAAAGGCTAACTCAATGTAAGTACCTGATAGTACATTTAAAATTATGATCATGTTAATTTTAGAATCGAAGACAAAACATCGCGCACTGAAAATTAAATAGTAAGATGAACAAAAGACAATCTAGCTACTAATCACTGCACATAGTTCAAGGAAACTTAGCTAGTTGGTGGCATTTTATCTTGAGGCAAATCGCAGAAACTTCCCGATAGATGTAATAAATAATTTATCAACCAAAATTAAGATTAAGATAAAATTTTCAACTGTTTATATCCAAAATAGGGTTTTAAATTTCACTTAGGTTGCGATTTCTAATTAAATTCCCTTGACACGGTTAAATTGTATGTGATTATATCAATTATAGTGCACAATCCGTGCTTGTTTAACCTAAAATTGTCGCTTATTATGTCCAAATTTCAATTAATGTACATAATTCAGCAAAATTCCGTCGCTATGTAAATTTTCATGAAAAACGTCGATACATTTTTTTAAGAAACTTAATATTTTTTTAAAATATTAAGTACCTGCTATAAGAAAGTACTGGCATAAACACATATATCATTTAAATTAATAGAAACATTTTTTACACAAGTAGAGAAATTTTATAGACTACCCACTTTGCTACTGATTCCAAGTCAATTTCTAATGGCTTGACTGATCTTTTCGCTAGTATAATTGCGGCTCCTCCTTATGGATTTCATACCAATAGCTTCTAAATTTGTGAAATTGAAATTTGACTTATCACATTACAAAAGCGACTTTTTACACAAGTTTTTGCCAACTTTATTAATTTTTAAAATTAAACTACTTGTCGTAGGCCTAAAATAGTATAGGCCTTCATAGTATATAGAGTATGTTCTTTGCGACCATGATATCTATCAGCATAAAAAGTTTCGTTGAACAAAAATTATCAACAGTCAATTACGAAAAAACGGCTCAGGCGATCTTTGTCCAAAAATAATCAGCATAATTCCCAATTAATATCTTTCGAATAGTTTTGAAATTTTTAAAATCAATTGAAAATTTCAAGATAAAGTGTGAACGAATTTGTTTCCATTGTTGTGCTATTTACAAAGAAAAGTATTGGCTGATAAAACTGGTCGTATAAAACTGACAAACGCTAGTTCTTATCAAGTTACTCCAAATGGATTGATGGTTTGAAATCGATCAAGCTCTTTTTGAGAAAACATCGGCAAAAGGTCAAAAAACTGACTCACATACACCCACATACTTTCTTCAAATATGGGCTCATTCGATTCAGAATGACTTGAAACGTCGAGAAAATATAAATTAGCAAACCGGATGTTAGACGGAAACAAACTTTCCCTCCGTAAGTTAAAATAGTAAGAATGATCCAACGACCAAAGAGAATGCAATCTGTCGTTGAAGCAGAAATTGTGAAAAAGTAAAACTCAATCATTGGGTTACAGACTTTAATTATTGTAATCCATACGATTGTTAATTTTATAAATTTGGATATATCTCTCATTTGAAAATTAAAATCTGTCATCAATTATCAAATGTTAATGAAACAATACAGTTCTAGGGATTTTGTATTTTTAAAATATTTAGAATATTACTCATTATCTAACAGGAATAAATGTAAAATTTTTGTGTCTTATAATAATAAAGCAAGTATGTATTTAAACGAAATGATAAAACATCATGTGTATGTGTATACTTACAATTCAATTGTTTCTAAAACAGCCTCATTTAATGCTCTTTCTCCCCTAGCATCGTATATTTTATCAGCCAATGTCGTCATCTCATTGCTTCGCAAATTTAGACAAAATACTTGCACACTGCATCGAGAATTTAATCTTGAGAGAGCTCGTGACATATGACATTTCGCCTGCATAATAATAATAATAAATAAATATATTTCAGTAAATATAAATATGTACATATTTCTTATTTCGTTCGAATTTTTACCCGTGGGTATATTATCCATCATATCTGGTAAAACAACAGTTAATATTTAAAACATAAAAGTTGTGACATATTTATGGGACAAAAAATAGAGGAAAGAAAAATTTTCCTCCAAAAAAAAAAACAATAAAAGAAAATAATATTTAATATAAAAGCAATATTTATAATAAAAGATAATTACACAAAGAATCAAGAAAAACAAAACAAAAGATTTATTCGCTCTGGAAAAAAATTCGTAACGAGCCAAGTATCATCCGCTGCTCTGGGTCGATCAGTATATAGTTTGGCATGGCGTGTTTGCCAGCCAAACCATGTTTTTAGTAAATTGGCCGAGACCCGCGATGTTGGTATTAGGGTGACTCCCACATTTTTGGTAAAAATTTTCGGTGAGCTTCTTTATATGGTCGGTAGTATTGTCGGTACGTTAGTTCGTTCATGTATGTATTTTGTAGAGTAGTAATGTCTAGTCATTGGGTCTCTTCTTTTGGTAACTACTAGTCGTGGTGTCTTATTTTGTACTGTCTTTAGTTTCTGTAAGTTCGTCTTGGTCGTCACACTCGATACTGGAGCGGCGTATAGTATTAATGTTCTGATCAGTGTGAGGTAGAGTGTCCGCTTGTTCTCCACGCTTATCGGGCTGTTGTGGTTCAAGAGAGGTCTCAGTAGATTTAACATCCCGTAAGCCTTTCGTCTGTTAAAATTGGGAGTAGTGCGGAGTGTCGTTCTTTAAAACCGTATTGTGTGTCAGGTAAGATTTTGTTGTGTCTTATGTGTTTGTTCAGTCTTTTGAGTAGTAACTTTTCGTCTATCTCACTCATCTTGAGGAGACTGATCGATCTGTAGTTCTGTGGTATGTCCGGCTCTTTCCTTGGCTTCACTATTGGAAATAGGGTGAAAGTTTTCCATGAAGCAGGAAAGCAGCCTTTCATCATAACTCTGTTTATTATGCGGGTAAGTAGAATGAAGGCGTTCGTCGGTAGTTGTTTAAGTATTGTGTTTTGCAGTCCGTCGGGTCTTGGTGCTTTTTTGTTCGGTAATTTTTAACTATTGTTTGACGTATTAGCATTTTGTTTATATATGTTTTTTCAATTTTTTTTTGCCAATATCTGCTGGTGTCGTTGCGCAATTGTCGTCAGATAATTTGAGTGGTGGTATGGATGTTGGTTTCCGCATCAGTCTTTTTGCGGTTTGTGTGGGTCAGTATTTATGTTACCGAGTCTTTTGGTCCAAGTGTTGTTTCGGTGGTCACGTATTTCATTAGAAATAATTTTTGTCAGTCTGTTCACATGTTCTTTGAGTAGTCTGTCACAGGTACGTTGCTACAGTTTCTTCGTATGATTTTTAAGTTTTAATTTCAATAAAATGTGTTCTAGTAAGTCGTTGGCTGGTGGTGTTCTTGAGTCTAGTGTCGTAATAGACTTTTGCACAGCGTCCGTTATTGTCTGTATAAGGTGTGTTACAGCCTCCTCAATGTCAGTGTTGGTATCGATTGGCATTGTGTGTAGTGTGTTGTCTGTGATAATGTCTCTAGAGTAATATAGAAATTTGCGTTTGGGAGTCTGTTCGATGTCTAGTCTGTCTGGAGTGGTCATAAAAACTGGGTTATGGTCGGAGTTAAAAAGTGTTTTTGTTATGGGTTCGGATATTACGTGTGAATTTTTTGTCAATGACAAATCGATCGTGCTGTGATGGTGTGTCAGTACGGTGGCGTATGTCAGGATAGTGTAGTTGAGCGTCTGTGGTGTTGTGTTCGGGCAGGTATTCATAAAGTATGTTTCCGTTTGCATTGTTGAAGTTGCAGTTCCAAGATGTGTGTTGTGCGTTAAAGTCTCCTGCCATAAGAACAAATCTGTTCGAGTTCAGTAGTCTTTGTAAGTTCGTATATTGCAGTCCGCTTGCCGGGATGTTAATCGATATTATAATTATTTTTTGACCGCTCTTGTATACATTTATAGCTGTTATTTCAAAACCGCACGCTGTCAGGTTTGGCACTTATTAATATCACAGTGCCGCCCCATCCGCGTGCGTCCGTCTGTCTGTCGTTTCTATAAATTTTGTAGTTGTTGATGTAGAGTCTGTCCGTAGGTTTCAGATATGTTTAGTTGATCAGTATAATTTCCAGATCGTATTCTGTTATCGTCTGTCTCAGTTCGTCAAGGTTATTTTTTAAGTCCATTTGAATTGAAATGCATTATTTGTCAGTCTTGTGATTGGTTTATGGGGATGATGTAAGAAAGTTTAAAACTGTTGTGTATTTGTCGTTATAAGTCATGTTTATGTTTAGTGTTTTTGTCGGTTTGTATAGCTCACTGAAAATTTGCTTTACCTGGGGATCCCCAAATAGCTTCCCGATCTCGCCAATAGCAAAGAGTCGATAAATAGCAGACGGTGCTGATCTTGGTGATGGACCACCGGTCCAGCCTTCAGGTAGTGTGAACTGGAGCGGAGGTCGGTATGATGTCCGTGGGACAGGGAGTTGAGGATAAGCAGGTTTGATGTTGGTCGAAAGACACTCTGGTTCGACACTATCAATATTTGTGTAACAGAAAAATAATAAAAATCAATAATTGGTGATTAAAAGACCTTGAATTTTCATTTATATACCTTTATACGTATCTTTTATTTTTTAAAATAGATTTTTTTTCATGAAATCATGAGCTTTTTGGAAATCGTTTGCACTAAAGTTATGGTATTTTCTAGAATCCGTCAAGATCTCTTAAACCAAGTTGATTCCAGAGGGAATACGATTACTTTTAATTTTGGTGGAAATGGCACTCAAAAACTATTTGCTTTGAATGAAAAAAAAACATTGAATGCGTCTTTTATCTGCATGATAGCTCACTCATTTTACACGCAAAAATACTCATTTTAAAGCTTATTTTGAGTACTATAAAACCCCATTTTCATACCTAGCCTAATATTGTTCCTGGAACAATTTACAGAACACCGATTTATTAAGATTTTATTTGATATAATTTTGTTCATTACATGACTTTTGTTTAAATGTATATTTTTAGAAATATTTGCAAAAAACGATGAATAAAGCAAAAAACAACAAATTTTCAGTAGCCAGTAACTTGAAAAGTAATTTCTTTTTTGAAAAACATTATTAAACTTTTTTCTCTTCTAATTAGTTCTTTTATCGATATTCTACGTTTGTTTGAAAGAGATACAATTGCACAACTGAAAATAGATGTACTTTTAAACTTGAGAGTAGGATGAACCTAATTCCAAAATTTCATGCAAATTGGATCACATTAAAAATATTCAGACCCAAAATGCTCCATGGCCTTGAGTAAATATTTCGTATCCAAAGCCAAACATATGAATTTTTGACACAATGAAACTTCTAAATAATTGTTTGAATTAGATGTAAGTGGAATTCTGTCTTAAGGCAATTAGGGCATCGTGCCTTAAGGCAAATTGCTGGAACTTCCCGTACCGCAATTCAAAATTCTAGAAATTAAAAATAATCAATAATAATAATCAATAAAAGTTGATCAATAAATAATAATAATAGTACCATATTAAATCATTCTATCTTAAATCATTTATTTTGAAATATTTTAGAAATTCTGAACTTTTTTTCAAAGCAATCGTACTGCTTTAACTGCATAAAGACGAAATATCAAAGCGCGTAAGCGCCGCGTCGCCGTCTAACGCGTAAACATTGGTACGGAACCCATAGGAATGTAAACAAAATGTATACTTATTCTTAAAATCTCTATAAAATATCTGATAATTTGATGTGGATATGCCTAATGTTCATTTTTGACCGCCAAATAGCTCGTTTTTTTACTTTTTCCTCCATATCTACAAAGTTATTGAACCTGCCTTTCCAAAAATTGAACAGTTGTTCATTTAGTCAATACAAATGAAATGTTTTTTGAATTATTCAAATCGGATGCTCCGTTCTCTTAAAAACTGAGTTACCGTTTTCGGCACTTTTTGCCCCGTATCTTCAGAACGGCTAGACCTGCCTTCGCCAAAAACTAATCAGCACGTCCCCTTATCAATACGTTTTTTGAATTATTCAAATCGGTTGATCCGTGTTCCCGAAATCGTCAACGAAAATTAGTATCCGCACATACATACATACACGCACACACACACACATACATCCATTTTTTCTAAGGTATGACAAAATGTTCAGAAGGTTTTAAAACGTAAAGATCTATAAAAATTTTCATTTTCGATTTTTTTTCCGGTTACTATAACTTGCCCTACGGGAAGTTAATAAGTAAATTATTTTTGTATCGTGATTTGGTAAAGTAAGGCAAAACATGACTGCATTTAAAAGTTAAAAAATAATAATCAGTCAAAGTGAATTATAGGCTAAGTTAGATGTGCGATCATTGACAAAAGCATGCGCAGACTGCATTTGTTTTTAATGCCAAACTAAGCTTTAAATATTTTTAAGGTTAAACAATGATAAGCGGTTTTTTGTAATTTTTTCCATTTATTTCTACAATCTAACTATATTTCTATGAATCTAAAAATTCTAGAAAATTTCCCGAACAAACTTCAGGAAGATTCATGAAAATCAGAAATATTTTATATATAAGATATATATATATATATATATATATATATATATATATATATACTAGATGACCCGACAGACGTTGTCCTGTACCCACCTCTACGTTTTTTTAATATCCTATACTAATATTTATACCGTTCAGTTAAAAATAATCATTATTGTTTTTCGAGTTACTATTTACACCAATATATGAGTGATGTTAAATGTAGTACTGTTTCAAATAAAATGATCATTCTCAATTCCCACAAATAACACTTTAATTATCCCTTTAACAAATATTAAAATATCTTCCATAAAATTATATATTAAAAATTATACACTGCGATTTATAGAACAAATTTATTTCCAATAGCTCAATTTATTTTATTGAATTTAAGGGT